TTCTAGATTGCTTGTGGTTTGTGACGGATAGATCACATATTGAATCAGAGCGTAACACATTTTCACATTTCATCATTCATGAAAGATGAATTCATGTTAAGAATTTCTTGCTGACAAATGGGAGCAAACTTCATAATAGAATAGTAAAGTAGGAATAACTGTGCTTAGTCTTTGTAAAACTGTTCAGCTCATAAAATATTAGATATATTTCAAATGCTTGAAAGACTGGAGACAAGCCACTATTCTAGTTGTATTCAGTTATTCATTTTGTAGAAAACATATTAAATGAGCTGGAACCTTAGGCTCAAATTTATTTCAAAACTGTCTTAAACAGCACATTTTAAATTGTCCTGAGAGCACTGTCATAATAATGTAACATCTAGTAAAAGGTCAGAGCAGCACTCTAACTGGCATGATATTTTAACATCTTTTTCAATCCTGTTAATTTAGGATAGTTGACTTACTTCTGTCACTGACAGAGAAATACATTGTACACAGTGAATCTGAAGTCATATTGACACGCCCTCTTGTTTGGAAATGCAAACACAATGACAAAGCCAGCAGGAGGACAGACACCCCATTTTTAGTGACCACTTTTACTTCCACAGGGAACCTGCTACTCAACAGGCTTAAGATTCTCAGGCTGACCTCAGTCCGCCCAGCTCTTAGCATTCTGCTTGAAAAGCAACACTTTTTTAACTCTACTGGCCATAACAACAGCCTGGTTACAAACCAGCCTCACAAAGTCTTTAATTGCACTCAGGATTTCATACTGTAGGTTGCTCACATAAGGATTTCATTTGCAAATACACATCATTAAAAACATTATTGACCTTTTTTATTGTTGATGTACATTTCCATCTACGCTACTGCAGAAAAATGTGGGGATTTCTCTGACACAATTAGGATTTACATACTATATACTGTATAGGAACAAGTAATAGGTTTATTCCATGCTGAAAAAAAGAAGAAAGAGAACACAACGTTTCGGCCGTGGAGCCTTCTTCAGGTGTGAGAGAGACAGGGCAGTAGGCAAAGGTAAAGTAGCGGGAGAACAAAGGTTGGGAGGGAGGAGGAGTGAGAGGCGGGAGCAGGGGACAGAAAGAGGGGCCAATCAAGAGATGTGAAGTCAGAATGGGTGCAAAGAGGTGTGAAATGAAACTTCCAATGAATAGAGAAAATTTAAAAGAACAGTAGTCTGGCGTTAAGGGAAGGGAGAATGTGTGATCCTAGCTGCAGAATAATTTAAGATCCGGTGGTCTTTCTGATGTATGAGTTCGGAAAACCGTCTTTGAGAACACAGACGGAGAGATTAGAGTGGTCGTGGCCGTCAGAGGTGAAATCAAAAACAATGGGCTTGGGGAGATCTTTAATCTTCACAGCCCTGACGTGTTCTCTGAAGCGGTCTCCTGAAGAAGGCTCCACGGCCGAAATGTTGTGTTCTCTTTCTTCTTTTTTTCAGCATGGAATAAACCTATTACTTGTTCCTTTGCAGCCCACGCATGCTGACGCAGCTACCCACCTGAACTACTATATACTGTATGTCATACTCACCAAAATATTACTATTGTAACATGTTTTAATACAGCTCTCTCAAACATATAAGAACTGAACTTGCATCTTTAATTCACATTGACCACAGTCTTTATAGCAGCCAATATGAAATGTTATAGGTGCTAATCCACCACATTTACCAACCAAACATTCTCTGCCGTTAACATATGCTCCTTTGTACAAATCCACAAACTCTGCTTTATGTACTGCAAATTGTATTTTTATTTTTATTTATCAGGTTAAACTCTTGATTAGAACAATTGATAAAATTTTAGTCAAAGATCACCATGGAATTGTGTTTCTGCTGCGACAGAATATGTGAGAAGGATATACACAGCCTACATTTTGGGCCACTTATTAGAATCTTCTACTCACCATAACCCTGTGTCCTAAAGTTTACAGTTTACTCTGCACTGTTCCAATGATGAGGCTCAGTTGTTCATTATTTGCTGGTTGCTGGTTTGCAGGGTATAAAAGAATATAGCAAATGCAGCCTTTTTTTTTTACACTTTAGACACAACTAAAAATGGTAGCTCAGACTATAACATAGTATAAAAACTAAATATCCCAAACTTTTGCTTAACAGGGTACAACCATTACTTTGTTTTAGATACAATACTTAATTAAATGGGCTTGTTTACTTCTCAACTTCCTGTTTCATATATGAGACCACGGAAACATGGGACCTTCTAGTAACTTCAGTGGCACAGTGGAAGGATGTAAAGCGGAAGACTGGTGATTATCCTGTCTGATCAATCTGTGAATGGAACTTATCTATTGCTCCTGGTTGACAAGTTATCGAGTTAGTGTGAGTTTTTAGGAGCAAAAAAAAAATATTTTACGGATCAATTCAGTTCTCAAGTCAATGTATTTATATTTATATTATATATATATACAGTCTCATAACAGTGCTAATATGACATTCATTTAATTTGCCTGTTTTCATTGCTGTTTTCTCTTAACATATTGAGACCTTAGGTAAGATTATAGCTTCCTGTAAATTCCAGAATCTTTTGGAGCTTCCTTAATTTATTACATTACATCAAATCCTATATCTATGGATGGTTAGTCTTCATGAAAATTGTGTATGTGCTTTGCTTTTATTTTCAGTGAATGAGCTCATGTCACCTGTGATTTATTTTTTCATTTGTCCATTATTGACCTTCACCATTGCTTGCCGAGGTGCCCCTGCCATCAATATAACTCATCCATGCATAGCTTGCTGTTCTCATGGCAGGACCTGGGCAGGGGGCCAACGATTTGCCACTTGTCAGAATGGGGCTGATAGGGTGAATGGATCCTGTGCAGGACTCTGGAGACAGAGAAAAACACTAAGCCGAATCGCCAAGCAAAAACAAATACCAGGAAGGTATTTCTGGCGGAAGGCGGGTAGGTCGGAACATGGAGAGACAACGAGGAAGCAACAATCCAAATCACAAGACGAAGTCGAAAACGAGGAGCAGGCTAGGAGATCAAATACCGAAATTTAAGCAAGAGAATAATGCGCACATGGGAGCTCGATGAGTATCCGCAATAGTGAGCAGGGAAATGAGAAAAGAGCAGAGCCAAAATAGCGAGTGGAGTAAACGGTGATAGGTGTATTATTTGCGGCGTGAGCGATTGTTAAAGGGTGTGCGTGTAGAAATGCGTAACACCGCTTCTCCCTTCACATGAAGCCAAAAAAAAAGGGGAGGAACAGGGTTCAGCAAGCCGCGACTTAAAAAACACCCTGCTGAACTCTTTCGAGTGGCTAAACTAGTAAAGATTCTCTCTTGGAACAAAGGTTGAGATTCATGGTTTAAGTGTCACAGGTTTGAATCCGAGCTGTGTTGATTGAGATTCTATCAATCGTGGGGCTTGACTTAACCAGTATCCTCAGTCAGCAGCTCAACAGTGATGCCTGGGAATTGCATGGTGCCAGCAATCATCATCATAATCGTATCTCATCAGAGAGATACTCCTTAAAACAGCGTTCTTTCTCCTGTAAGCCACAATAGAGCTTGGAGTTTGACAAATCATAAATGGATCAGACAAATGGATGCCTCATGGGAGACACGGGTCTTCACTCTTGTTAAATTAGGTTAAATTACTGGGCTCACTAATTTAGGCTTGTAGATGAGTCCAGATTGGGAGGGCACAAAACCAGAAAACCAGAGACTACAAATCTAAAATCCAATGATGGATGCTTTTAATTAAATATCAAATGAATACTGCATCCTTTGAGTATAGTGTCAAACAGGTAATGTAAATACCTCAAGGCAGATTGGTTAGCGAGGCTGCCTCATAGGTCTTGGGTCCTACAGGTAGGTGCCATTCTAGACTGGGGTGCCTTCTGTGCAGAGTTAGCATGATCTCCCCTGGTTTGCTGCAGATGGTTTGGTTAGATTTTAAGTGAAACAGTCTTGTGTCTCTGGGATGGGCTCTGGGTTGTCACATCTCTCACAGGGACAAACCAGCGAAGACCTTCAGGTCTGTACTGGGCACAGTTTCCACACACATTACAGTTCTTTCATTCCTTGGTTCTTTACCACTGCTCCACAGCCATGCCATCTTCCTCTTGCTCTCACATTGTACTAAATTGTGCTCATGAAATCTGCAATAAAGTACATGTTTTCTTTGCAACCATTATTCTTTTTCTGTGTATGCTGCACCACCCCTGCAAACCTTAAGAAATGTCCATCTCATTTGCCTTGCTCATGTATTTCTTGCTGTATATACTTTAATTGACCATCTATTTGTCAGCTATATTTTAGGGTGAAGGGTGAGCCATCTGTAATTAAGTAAATTAATATATCCTGTTAATTCTTGCATTTGAGTTATTTTTATTATCCCTGACTGAACAGAGCACATGCTGGTTTAATAAAAATACACTTTTGCCCTTATAGAACACTTTATTCTTAGAAAGTAGTGTGTAAGAGTTAACCACAACTAGACAAACTACATGTGTAATAAAACTTGTTTAGTTTGCATAAAATGTATTATGATTTATCTCACATCTTGCTGTGTGAACTGTTCCCTTGGAAATAAAATACATTTACCATCATCTACATTTTAAATTGATGTCTACATTTTTCTATGTACCTTTTTCTCCTTCCCTAATTTTGAGGCTATGTTTGGGGATTGACAAAGCTCACACTTAAGATGAAGAATTAGGCTTACATGTATAAAAAATTTGAACAGGTTTTAATACAGATTTACTGTAAAGCAGTAAGAATGTCTTATAATTGGTACATGTTTCTTGTACTGTATGACAAGATGTCATATCCATATATGACAAGACCCCCATCCTTGGAGATTTTTAAGTAACAGACAGATGCCAGTTTCCTTGTTGTGAAATCAGCACTGGGCAATCTCGCCAAACCAGCAGGATCGCATTGTTGGCGTTATTGTGAGGTGTTAAAACTCTCAGCCCGTGAATTTCTCTCATTCACAAGCGGAACCAGCAAGGAGCTGTGGGTCTTCACCTCCAGGGACTCTGCAGAGCATTTCAAGCAGTACTGTTTTGCAGCACCTCTTAGAAAGATGGGGAGCGGGGCGCTGGAAATAGTTGCTATGTGCTTGGGCTTCATCGGACTGATTGGTGTGGCCGCTATTACAGGCCTCCCGATGTGGAGAGTGACGGCTTTCATCGGGGAGAACATCATCGTGATGGAGACCCGTTGGGAAGGGCTGTGGATGAACTGCTTCCGACAGGCCAACATCAGGATGCAGTGCAAAGTGTACGACTCCCTGCTGATCCTGCCTCCAGACCTCCAGGCTGCCCGCGGACTGATGTGCTGCTCTCTTGCCCTGGCCTTCTTCGCACTGATCATCTCTGCTGTTGGCATACAGGGAACGAGATGCCTCAAGGATGACATGCACACAAAAAATATCATCCTGATTGTAGGCGGATGCCTGTTTCTTCTGGCTTGTATCACCACACTCATCCCTGTGTCCTGGACTGGCAACGTAATCATCAGGGATTTCTACAATCCCCAGATTCTGGACGCTCAGAGACGAGAGCTGGGAGAAGCCCTCTACATCGGGTGGGTGACGTCTGCCATTCTGTTTGCTGCTGGGGTAATACTGCTGTGCCGCTATGTGCCCCGAAAGCAGAAAGAGGATGAATATTACTATACCAAGGGCTCGGTACACAGTATGCCTCAGCCGGCAGTGCAGAGGCAACCCTCCAGCGTTTACAGCAAAAGTCAGTATGTGTGATAACTCACAAAAGACAATATGGACAATCTGATCAAAATGAACCGAGTAACTGTGGTACTTCAATTTGCATGGAAAAAACAGTTTGTGTGTCAGCGCTCCAAAAATGTCTTATCTGGAGTTTAAAGAAAACTGATTGTATGCAATAATATGTAATTTTACCACTAAAGAGAAATTCTGTGATCCAGTTTTGTATAGCATTGCTTCTTATTTCTAATCCACTTATAATTAAGTTATATACAGTATAACGATTTCCTGACCTCAAAGTAAAAAGCAGTGTGCAACATTTACAGAAAACGAATGGTTTTCATGCAAGGTTTGTTTCTTCGGTTGAGGTTACTGTAATATCAATTCATATTTAAGACCTCTTTAAAAAATTCAAATGTGATGCACAAAGGAGCTTAAAACAGGTATAATTAAAAATTAATGAGGAAATTAGAAGTGATATAAAGTGGTATAAACGACTAGTAAATTCACTTCAGTAGTGAAATAGAACATGTATGACAAGCATTTAATGACTAGAACAATGAGCACTGCAGAAATCCAGATTATGGGTGTCTGTATTTTTTTTTCACTCAGAAATCCAGAACATAAAGATGTTGCTATTACAAAGGACTTTTCAATGCAAATGTGCTTGTATCTATTTTTGGAATGATAACATTGGACATTTACTGTATATATATTTTTCTTCATATTGTTTTTAATAGCATTTTCTGTTATTATTGCATCCACCTTTGTAAACCTGCTCAGTTCTATATTGCGACATATCCTATTTGACATGACACACCATATTTGTAACAAACTTTTCCTTGCAAAAGTATTGTTTGTATCTGATTAAATAGCAAATAATGCGAGTGTGATGTATTCTCTTTTCTTGATTCTGCAACCTACACTTCTGTGATCCTGTCTATAGATGTGCTTTGCCTGGGTGTAGAGACAGAATGAAAAAAGATGTCTGCTTATGGTTAGACATAGCTGCAGTTTTGTACATACTGTATTTTGTTAATCAATTTATTCTTCAAGGCACATGGTTTTTGCGTCCATACTGTTTTCAATCTACTATAATGGTGTCGGGCTCTTGAGCTTAACATTCAAAATATTAGGAATCAAATATATGACTGTATATTTGTAAGTTATCTAATGGCTGAATCATTTCATAATTAAACCAATATTTACATAAATGTGATCATTATTATTTAAACACATTGTATAGATTTGTACACCTATAGTAGATTAAACATAAAGGATGTGAATGGAGGCTACATAAAAGTGTATTTAAGACTGAGAACAGAAGACACTTCTGTACCTGAAGAGTTGTGAGAGTCTGGAACAAGCTACTTAGCTATGTTGTTGAAGCTGATACCCTGGCTTCCTTCATGAAAAAGCTGCACAAGATCCTTGGATTAATTAGCTATTAAATTCAAATGGACTAGTTCATCCAGATTGTTGGTAGCCATTCATACATTCTTAGGTTCCAATAGAATACATTCTGTCTGCAGCTTAGATCTAAATAATTGGTAGGAAATGTCCATTTGGTATATCTCTCCCATTGTTTTATTAGACTGACTCACAAGTATGTTTAATTTGTTTCTTCATGTATTTTAATCTGCACTCAGTTGCGTGCAGATAAAAGTCTGAAGTATCTTAGTTCAGGTGAACTGACTTACCAGTGATCACACCAACCATTTTCATTTTTTTGTCAGTAACAAAGACTAGCTTAGAATATTTTTAATTCTACTCTGTTTGGTTATATTTACAGCAGTCAAAAAAAGTATTTTCATGTCTCTTAGACTCCTTTGATTGAGAGTGACCATCCAAAATGAAAAAAAAAACAACAAATGGCAGAACATGTCAATTCTGAAATAAATTTAAGCTTTTGTGTTTTTGAGTCTCAAAACTGAATTTTCTGCTTTGGAGGAAGACCTTTGGTTTTGCTCACATTTTGCTGAAATGTAGTTGGTTTCTAAGTTAGCTTGTGGGTGGGTCACATTTCTAATCTAATTCTAAGCTTTAGACTGAAAACATTCTCACTTTAAACTTTAATTCACATTAATCTCCTTAAACACCTTCTAGCTAGTACTAACACTGGATTGTACTGTATATCACTGTGTGTTTTAAAGTAGTAGTAGTTTAAAGAGGCTTTTGCCAAATCACAACTCATTGTTGAATGCCTCGTATGAGTGACCTGACCACTTTCAAACAGTCTTCAAAAAGTTCATGATTTGCACAATTCAAGAATGTTTATACAAAGCAGTATGAGCTCCTCAAGCATTTTTAATCCTTTTACAAAACCACACATTCGAATTTTTTGGACTCAAATCCAAAATGCCCACATTTGCCATCTTTCTCAAAAAATGTATTTATGCTTATACACCATTCTTGTCTTGCAAAATGGAATGCAGCAGTTAAAGTGTCCTTATGGACAACCCTGATGTACTTTATCCTGAGATTGGGTCCAGAAGTATAAACAAGCAGAATTGCATAACACTTTGTCGATAACGGTACACCTGTACACAAAAGAGTTAAGGGTTTTTTGTGTGGGAATATCACACATGGTCTGGACATGGAAATTCAAAACTTTGTGATAATCCATAGTGAGAATACTGTAGTGGGATTGAAATGCATTAGATCTGTAGAAATCTATCCTGCTGTAATTTTTACATCATTGTCAGTATTGCTGGCTGTACCTTTGCTGGAAGTTTCCAGGACCAACATTAAGAGCAGCAACTCTTCTGCAGCTCTGGTAGTCTTTATTTCACATGGAAGTTTTTAGATTAGCCTAAGGTAACTATTTCATTATGCACTGTCTTTGTTTGGGTATTGCTTTAGTCTGTGATGAAAATCTCTAGATTTATGTATTGTATCTTTGAAAAAGCCAATGACAAAGACATTCCTTTGACAACACTTACCTACTGTATATTCACTGTATTGATCTGGTATTTTCCATTAATTATGTTATTGTAATTAATTAAAATAATTATTCATCTGGTATTTTCCATTAATGATGTTATTGTAATTAATTAAAATAATAAGAAATGGTAATAAGAAATGATGTAAACATGAGCAGCTCCTTTGGTCAATAATAATAATAATAATAATAATAATAATAATAATAATAATAATAATAATAAT